GACGTATATAGACACTTCCAAACAAAACTACTGGGCCTATAGTGACGTATATAGACACTTCCAAACAAAACTACTGGGCCTATAGTGACGTATATAGACACTTCCAAACAAAACTACTGGGCCTATAGTGACGCATTTAGACACCCCCAAACACTGATGTGTCTGTTGTGAGGTGGACCTTTATCTGACAGGAAGTGGGGCTTCGTTCATAATCGGATCAGATCAGATAAGAAAAATAAGAGGCGGAACTGCTCAAGTGTGCAAAAGAAAAAAAGTATAAATAAGCTTTACTTTTTTTTCCTTCTTTCTCTACATTAACAATCTGTCATGAGCTCTAATGCTGTTGAAATAACATGCTTGTGTCTCGTATTGAATGGGTTTTAAACCTCTTTCAACACTTCACAGTGACATTTACAAAGAGAAATAATCAGGGTTATTTAAATTCAGATAACCAAGAAAAGGTGCACAACTCTACTATATCTTTTAGGAATGAACTCTCAAGAAGATTTTCACTAAGCCGTTAATAAAATTGATTCTTCACCTTGTTCAGAAACTATAATCCTATAAGTTGTAAGCAAATACAAATTTACCAAAAAGCAAACCAAATAATGATAGAACTAATAACCCTTATAATTCATCAAGGTATACAGATGATCGAAACCACAGCTTTTTAAATAGACTAAGTTTATCAGAGAATTATATTACCCTTACTGGTTAACAACTCTTATTCACGAATTTTACAGTGAATTATACAAATTATCTAGTGGGGAGACCAACCTCCCTTAATAAATCTAATGTCAAGAAAGGTTAACCTTAAGGGGCGGACGCTGGTCAATTCTGGCCAATGTCGAGTACTTTATCGACTAAGAGAGTCCAATATCGATGAGTATTGTTATCTACTCAGTACTTACAAAGATGCAGCAAGAGGTCTTAACAACAGTTTCTTAATGTAAAAATGCCAATCACTTTGGACCATGAAAGGCTTTGGAACGCAGTAGCAGGTCTGCAAACTTTGGCCTGAGCTGTGTCTGAAGAATCCCGGCCCCCGACTTTGGCGTCCATGTCTGATATATTATACGACCGAGCTAAGTAAGTGGAAAGCCTTGAAAACTCCTCTCTCAAAACAACAACAACAACAACAACAACAACAACAAAAAGGAAAAAAAAACCCAATTACGAATTCGGAAGAATGCCACTCACACCCGGCCGATTACTATACTGATTTCGCAAACGACATACTCTAAATTAAAGGTGGGCAAAATCCGGATAATCTATAAGGATAACCGAATAATTTTCAATGAAACATCATCCGAATTCAGACTCTTAACTCTCTTTCCTGACCCATTTGTCGAAGTGGGTGTACCCATATTTTATTTAAGCAGTGTTAACCTGTTTGTGAAAGTTGTTCTAACCCATTTACCGAAGCGGTCCATGTCATATTATTTGCCGAAGAGGTGCACTAGCATATTATCCGGATTGTGCGAAAGCGACTCATTGCCCAGTCCTACTCTAAATACGGTTATGTCTTACAGCAGGGTTTCAACCCCGACGAGAAACTCGGCTTAGCATAATTGTGTACTCACGCTTCCAGTCGAAAGTGAGCAAGCTATATATAAGCACACTTGCGTACTCAAGCTAACAGTTGAAAGTGAGCAAGCTATATAAGCGTACTTTTGTGCTCAGGCTAACAGCTGAAAGTGAGCAAGCTACATAAGCATAATTGTGTACTCACGCTGACAGTCGAAGCCGTCCCCAGCGTAGCCGTCTGCGCATGTGCAGGAGTAGCTTCCGTTGACGTTGACACAGTGTGCGTCCGGGTGACACTTGTGGGTTCCGTGAACACACTCGTCATAATCTGAGGGAACAGGACAGGTGTGGAATGATGATGGTGATGACGAATGAAGATGATGGTGATGGTGAGGATGATAAAGATAATGACGCCAAAGGAGACGGCAATTGATGATAATGGTGATGGTGGGGAGGAGGAGGATTAGGAAGAGGTGAATGAGGAGGACGAGGAGGAGTAGTAAAAGAAGGAGGGGTAAGATGACAATAGGAAGGACAGAAAAGAAAATCACAAGACCATCAGTATTCAAACACAGGATACCCAAAACCACAATCTAGCTTGATGCTTTCTCCCCTGACAAATGGAGGGAAATAGGAGGAGACAAAAGAATAAGGAGACCTTAAATGTCTAAGTTCTAAGTTTCTTGATAGAGCTTCGGTGATCTATGAAATACCACCAATCTCCCCCTCCCCCCACAAAGAAAAAAACCCCCCATACACAAAAAAAACCCAACAACAGCTAAAACAAACACAACAGCAACCAAACAACAAAAACTACCGGTACCTTTTCTTTCCAATATACATACGGCAAAGATAATGTTAAGATATCTCCGAAAACGGGTAGGTTTGAGGCACGCTATATTGGAATTGAAACATACATGGCATGTGCGGCAGCGATGTATCCTTTCCCCTGAACAAACCATCGCTGTCGTCAATTTGGAAACATATTGATTTGTAGCGACCATCGACACGATTTAGGACATATTGGGCAGTAAGATGGATGGGAGGGGAGTGTATGTGGTCGAAGCAGGGTTGGTTTTTTTTGG